CTGCAGCCTACCTGGGCCTCACTACCTACCTGGTACTGTGGGGCCAGTGGGTGCCTTGGGGATGGGGGAGGCAAAGCAAGGAGACAACAGATGGGGAGGGCGTGGGGGGGACTTCCCCAGAGGTCTTGGCCTCTCCCCCACTCTTGGCCTCCTCTCCCCCAGATCTGGACCTGTTGTATTGCCCATGGAGCCACCTTTCTGGCCCACAGTTCCCACCAACACTTCCTGTATGGGCTCCCGGAAGAGGAGGAGGGGGAGACCTCTGGATGAGCCCCCACCCAGGGCCTGGCTGGAAGGTGGAACAAGTGGGGCAGACTGGCCTGGTGGACACGACAGGGCTTGAAGGCAGCAACACAGAGCGGGAGAGTTTGGGAGGCAGGCCCACGTGGGGTCCTTGGGGACCTCCTGTTTCCTAGCTTAGACAAGAGATTAACCTCTGGGTCTCAGTGTCCTCATCTGTAAAATGGGGACAACACCAACCTTGCAATGGATGCTAAGCACTTTAACACAGTGCCTGGCACTTGGGACTGAAAAAAAATCATTCAAAAAATATTTATTGAGCACCTATAGGAGTGACCTGGCAAGACCAATGGTGGGGGTAGGGTGAGGCCCGACGAAGGTTCCAAACTGGCACTTAAAATAGAGTCTAATAAATGCTAAATAAATACTAGTTCACTTCTCTTCTGGAACCTGTGGCCTCAAGGTTACATGTGGCCCTCCAGATCCCCAAGGGCAGCCCCGCCACTGAAACCAAACTTCACAGAACAAATCCCTTTAAAAGGATTTGTTTTGTAAAATTTGGATTCAGTCAAAAGGCTGCACTCAAGGATCCAGAAGGCCACATGTGGCCCCAAGGCCCCAGGTTCCCCATCCCAAAGTCTGGTTTGCTTCTATTCCCCCTGTTTCGCCTACAACCCATTTTCCAGACGTTAAAACGGAGGCGTGGTTCCCTCTTCTTCAGGAACCAGGTCATAGGAACCTAAGAGTCCGTGCCTCCGAGGCCCAATTCATTTGCCATCTCCCCAGGGGACTAGGCAGCCGGGACTCCCACGCCACGCAGTTAACACTCCCTCTCAGCTGAGTCCCGGCTCCCCCTAGGGGCAGGGACGGTCGGAGCGCCCGCACTCCCGCCTTGGCCTCACCCCTCCCAGCCAAGTGTATCAGCTGGGAAAGGCAGCCGCTCGAGTCTCAAACCCGGGCCCCCCACCCCGGAATCCTCCTGGGTGAGGAGGTGGGGAGGAACTGTGTGGGCGGGGAACCCCCTCTGCCGCAGGGAGCGGCCGGACACCCCTTCGCCCTGTTAGGGGGCTGCACTTTATAGACGTTCCCTAGGCTGTTTCTAGGCTCCCCCAAGTCCCTCCTCCAGTTCCTCGGACCCCAGCCCGGGAGCTGCGGACAGGCACAGCGAGAAGGGGTAGCCTGGGCCTTTCCCTAGAGTTAAGCCAGGAGCGAGTGCTCTACCTGGGAGTACCTCCAATTTCCCCGGGACCCAGTAGTGCAAGCGACGCGCTGGTCAGGGCGATTGTTTATGAGAAGAATTTCCTCTTTCTTAAAAGGGCAACGATGCGAGTGGGGCCCGCAAAAAGAGAAGGAATGGGACAGGTCTGGAGCAACCGGAGCAACTGCCACAGAAGGCACCTGGGCGGGAGGGCTGCCCACCCTCCTCCGCGCTTAGTAGTGGAGAAGATGGGGCCCACGAGAGCTGAAGGAGCGGACAGATGGGGGGCAGGTAGTGAAGAAAGGCATCTCACAGATCCTCCAGCTCCCCAAAGTGGCCCCAGCTGTGCCCCCTGCACACCCCTCTGGCCAATTCCCTTGGCATTAATTGGGTCCCGTCCTGTGCCAGGCCCAGTGCTACAGGTGGGGGAGGGAGGCAAAGTCCTGAATTAAAGAAGATGTCAGCTGTCAAGGAGCAGAGGGGGGACACAGCTAAGTTACTGAGTTGCAGGATGTGGCGAAGGGCACTGCCAGTGAGGCCCGGGCCAGAGAAGGTGACAACTCCTGCATGGGATTGTGAAAGCTGAGCGGGAGTGCGGGGTAGTCCAGGCGAAACGAATGTGCCAGGAGTGGGGGGCTTGTGCGTGCATAAGCACATAAGCTCGGAGACATGAAACCTTTGGGGGAGTTCTTGGATTTTGTGGGGCAGGACTGGGGGGATCCCAGAGGAATGGGCAGGCTAGTCCTGTGAACTTGGGAACAAAGAAGACACCCGAGGGCCAGCTAAGGGGCTACCCTGGGCCTGGGCGAGGGCTTAGTGATGAGATCAGGCCAAGGTCAGGCGTTTTAGGACAGGTAGGCCCCTGCGGAGAGCTGCCTCCACCCTCATAAGTAGCTCGGGTCCTCTCAGCCCCACAGGCTCAGCTCGTACTTGACCCAGGATGGGATGTTCCACCTCAGCCCCCGGACGGCCTGCCGAGGGCAACTCCCTGGGTTGGGCTTTCCCGGCCCCGTTTGGCAGATGAGGAGGCTGGGGTGCTGCATGGAAAAGACACATATTTGTTCACAGCTGCCAGACAGGACTCTGCTGAACCCCGTTTCTCCCCCACCCCATTTCCCAGCCGCCATGACTTCTTCCTGAGGGTGCAAACCAATGGAACAGATAAAAATAAATTGTGTGGGTAAAGCGACCGACGGCCGCTGGGGTAGAAGGGGATAGCAGCGAATGTGGACAAACCCCCATCTCCAGGGAGGAAACCCAAAGAACTCCCGCCTCCCAATCCTACCGGCCTCCCTGTGGCTTCGGGAGAGAACTTAAGGGCTCCAGGCAGAAGGTGCGCCCGGCTCAGCTGCCTTGGAGACTGAAACGGGGGAAGGTTTCCCGGGGAAGAGACCTGCACCGGCAAAGGCTAGAGGGGCAGTTGGGATGGGGGGATCCCGAGGAATCCTGAGAGCTCACGGTGGCCCGTCTGGGAGTGGGGCGATGGGCCACAGCAGCCCGGCCCTACCCAGTACCCTGTCCGCGAGTCAGCTCCTCTGACCGTCAGGGAGACAAGCCGACCAGGTTCCAGCCCCCTTCCCACAGGAAGAAACGGAGGGAGAGGAAGGCGAGCCGCCCTACCCAGGCCGGGGGCGAGGCCAGTGCTCCACTCAGTCCCTCGCCACACATTTCCTTTTGGGGTCAGTGCGGCCCAAGCATCCGGCGATAAAGCCGAGGTCCCACCCCGAGGCCGGACTGAAGTGGGGACACTCCGCCTCTGCCCTCGGTAGAGGGTTGGGCACGTCGCTTCACTTGTGGAGCGGTTTCTTATCTGTAGAATGGGATGAGAAGGGGGTCGTTCGGCGCAGTAAATGAGATTGGGCTTGCAGCCAGGGCGGGACTCAGACCCGAGCGCGGGCGGCGCGCTGGCGAGTAAGACGACGAAGTGCAGTCAGGGCAGCCCTGAGGGCGCCGTGGGGTCCAGCCTGGGACGATCAGTCCCCGATGGCAACCCACCCGCCCGCCGCCGCTCCCAGTTTCTGGGCACCAAGCCGCGCGCTCCCAGGCAGGCGCAGCTCCCCTCCCTCCGCTCCCGCCCGGGCGCCGGGCCTCCTCCCTGCCCGGCTCCCCAGGCGGGGCCCGGCGGACGTGCGCTGCGCTCGCACTCGGCGGCCGGACGGGACAGGACGCGCCCGCCCCGCCCAGCCTGGGAGGCCCGCGGAGGGGGAGGAAGTGCCGAGGCGTGTTTGTCCAGGCTTGGCGTTATTATTAATTTTTAAACTATGAACACAAAATAATAACGACAGATGGAAGGAAAATAGCAACCCGCACACCCCGCGGCGCGCACGACGCTGGGGCTTCCCTCGTTAAGAATTACGCGGACCCCGCGCCGGCCGGAGCGTGTCTCCACAGTCCCGCGTGGAGAGGTGTTTAAAGTCCTCTAAACGGTTGAGGAGGTCTGAGGCCCCCACGGTCGGGATTTGGGCCCACTGTGTGCGGGCGCCGTGCTGGGCACTCGGGAACACAGCCAAGTCCTAGTAACCCCCACCCTCAGAAGCCACAGAGTGGCCGGCGTGCGGGGGTAGAGGAGGGGTTCTGGGAAGGTCTCTGGAGAAGGTGGCATTTCTTTGAGGCCGGTGGGATTTGGTTCCGCGAAGGTAACAGCGCCTTCCAGGCAGAGGGAACAGCGCTTACGAAAGCCCTGAGTCTGGAGGTGCACGGCCCCTCTCGGCGGGAACGCTAGGTGGCGGGCGAGCTGGGCGGACTTGCGGTGGGGCATCTGGGAGAGGTCAGCAGGGGGTGTCCGAAGCAGAGAGTTGGAATTTTCACGCCTTACAGACCCCAGGCATCTTGCTCGGAGACTGCGGTGGTGGTGACGTCACAATCAAGAACATACTTCAGGCCGGGGCTGTGGCTCATGCCTGTAATCCTAGCACTCTATGAGGCCTAGGCGGGAGGATCACTGGAGTTCAGGAGTTCGAGACCAGCCTGAGCGAGAGCGTTAGCTAGGCAATGTGATGTGCGCCTGTAGTCCCAGCTACTCGAGAGGCTGAGGCAGAAGGATCGCTTGAGCCCAGGAGTTTGAAGTTGCTGTGAGCTACGCAGATGCCAGGGCATTTTAGCCCAAGTGACAGAGCGACTCTGTCTCAAAAAAAAAACAACACACTTCTGTGGATTTGCACAGCTGTCTGGAGCTAGCAAAGAGCCTTCGCTCGCTCACGATGACCCGGCGAGGTGGCCCCTGCGACCAACACACGGGACAGAACACCCATTTTACAGATGAGGTAGCGTTAGCTCCGTTTCCCCCGTGAGGAAAGTGAGAAGCCGCTAGTCCCGAGTCCTCGGAATGCGCAGAGGTGGAGCCATGCCACCCCTGGGCGCCACCGTTGGGCGCTCCCCCGCGTGGGCGCTCTGGGCGGGAGGGCGGACCTTGGCCCCAGGAGTTCCGCGGCCTGGAACTGCGGGCCGGGCGCAGGGCCTGCCACGCAGCCGCAGAGGCTCTGCCCCGCCGGCGGGCGGCAGGAAGGGAGGCGACGCCCCCTGGAGCGCGGCAGGAACCCTGCCCGGCCCGCCTCCCAGTCCTCCTAGCCGCGCCGGCCCCAGAAGTGATGAAAGCCGCGGCCGAGTCCAGGTCACGCCGAAGCCGTTGCCCTTTTAAGGGGGAGCCTTGAAACGGCGCCTGGGTTCCATGTTTGCATCCGCCTCGCGGGGAGGAAACTCCATGTTGTAACAAAGTTTCCTCCGCGCCCCCTCCCTCCCCCTCCCCCAAGAACCTGGCTCCCCTCCCCTCCGAAGCTTGCGGGGATCCCTCCCTCCCACCCCTCCCCTCCCCCCCGCGCCCCGAGTCCGGCCTGAGCCGGGGGGGAGGCCGGGCTCTCGGGCCAGAGTCCGGCCGGAGCGGAGCGCGCCCGGCCCCATGGACAGCTCGGCCGTCATTACTCAGATCACCAAGGAGGAGGCTCGGGGCCCGCTGCGGGGCAAAGGTACAGGGGCTGCGGCAGCCCGGGCGCCGTGGGAGGAGTGTGGGAGGGGGCCAGGATCTTTCCCGGGGCAGCCGCTTCTGCCGCCCTGGGCGCCCGCCACGCCGGGCCCGAAGCTCCCAGCCCGAGAGGGAGTGGGGAGAGAGTTTGAACTCTGAGGAGGCTCAGAGACACGGGGCGAGGCCTGGAGCCTTTTGGGCGCTCCAGTCTGCTCTAGGCTGGGAAACTGAGGTAGGGATAGAGAGAGGGGACCCCTTCGGGGGCTCCGGGGCTGACAGTGAGCGGTACTTGGGCGTCTCCCCCTCCCCCCCGATTGGCGCCAATGGGGCCAGGAGTTGGGGGGGCGGTGAGGACGGCGCCTTGAGGCCACCCGCTGAGACTCCGCCCCCACCTATGGACTGCGGTCGAGTAGGGGCTTGGGAGGGGGCGCCGAGGTGACAGCGGGCTGGGGAGGCTTGGAGGGATCTCCCGCCAACACACAGCCACGTTCCCACAAACTTCCGCGTCAGGCGTGGAGGCGCGGAACCCCTCAGAGGCACAGAGAGAAGGGCCAGCACTTCCAAGAGTCGCCTGTGCGCCCGCGGGAAGAGCCGTGCGCCCGACTGGGCACGCGGCGCCCCTGCTGCAGGCGGGTGGGCGCCGGGCTTGTGTACACACGCACAGACCCGCGAAGCCGCGCGCCCTGCCAAGGCTGCGCCCGAGGGGCCTGGCCGGGCCGCGGTGGGGGTCTGCTCCTCCCCTTCCCTGTGTGGACCTCAGGGCCTGGAAGTTCCCCCCAGGCCTTGCTCCCGGCAACCCAAAGAGTGCAGAGGTGGGAAGGCAAATGGGGGGTGGGGACATAGGAGTGAGGGCTGACAGATGGCCGCTGGACACTAGCCCCAGGCCAGCGACTGCACCCCCTGCCTCTGGGCTGGCCTCAGTGAGGACTTTGGACCCACGGGGGGAGGGTGGTGGAAAGCATGGCTGGAGGGCAGGAACAGTGACCGGCCCCCAGGCCCTGGCTCTCATGACAGGGGCTGCACAGGTAAGGTGGGGACAGGAGGTGCCCCAGCGGGGCTTACCCATCAGCAGTCATGGGGCAGTGAGAAATAGAGTAGTTGCACCCCCAGCACCCACTTGTCCAGGCAACCCACTGCCTAACATGGGTGCTTTTATATCCACACTGGCCTTACTTGGGAGGGGGCACTGCAGGGAAACTGAAGCAAAGACCTTTGGGGCTGCTGGCAGGGGCATTTCCGGGAAAGCCAGGAGCCACTTCAGTGTGTGTCCCGTGATGAAGGGGGCATGGCCAGAGCCTCCAGCTCAGGGTTTGCACCTGGGCACATAGGCACGTCTCTATAGGCCAGTGTGCACACCGCCCCCAACTTGGGCCTCCCTGCTTCAGGTGACCACAAGTCAGCAGCTGCCCAGAAGCCCCGAAGCCGGGGCATCCTCCACTCACTCTTCTGCTGCGTCTGCCGTGATGATGGGGAGGCCCTGCCCACCCACAGTGGGGCACCCCTACTCGTGGAGGAGAATGGTGCCATCCCCAAGGTATGTGGTGGCCAAGTGGGGACTATAGGGGCACCTGGGCTTAGCCTGGAGGGGTTTTAGGGGAAGGAGCTCCTGACCAAGCTTTTCATGACCCGCCTGCAGACCCTGGAAGATACAGAGGAGGGTGATAACCTCCCCTGCCAAGCCCTAACCACTGGCTCTGTCTGCCCCAAGATTGCCACCTAGCTAAGGGAATTCTAAATTTCCTCCTCATAGGTGGAAGCTTTTCTCTACTTTGGTTTTCCAGGTGGGGAAGTGAGGCCCAGAAGCCAGGTGGCCTGCCCCAGGCCCCAGGGTTGGCAGGGGCAAAGCGGGGAAGAGGGTGGTGTCTCCCCACAGTCCCAGTGATTCCTCGGGTAAGGGGCTGGGGGAGGGACGCCTGGGCAGGAGACGTGACTGGGCTCTGACCTTCCCTGCAGCAGAGCCCGGTCCAGTACCTGCTCCCGGAGGCCAAGGCCCAGGACTCAGACAAGATCTGCGTGGTCATCGACCTGGACGAGACCCTGGTGCACAGCTCCTTTAAGGTGGGCCCTGCCCAGCAGCCCTCCGCCTGGGTCTAAGAGGGGCCTGCCTAGGCCTGCGAGGGAGGTCTCTGCTGGGTCCTGTCCCCCGGGGCTCCCCGCTCCAGCTCCAGTGGCTCTTTTACCCCCACAGCCAGTGAACAACGCCGACTTCATCATCCCTGTGGAGATTGATGGGGTGGTCCACCAGGTGAGGAGCAGGAGGAGGTGGCGGCGGGCTTGGCATCTGCCTTCCAGACTCCAGGTTCTTCCCACCGATGCGGAGAGCCCCAGATGGAAATTTGATTGATGTGGGATGTTAGAGGCCTGGAGAGGGTGTGAGACTTACCCAGGGTCACACAGAACCTCAGGGACTTGGCACAACTCCAGGCCCACAGAGAGCAGGTCCCTTCTCTGGGCCCCTCCTCTGGGCCCCCTTGCCATGCCCCCTTGCCCCACCCTGCCCGGGACCCAGTTCAAGTAATTCAGGATAGGTTGTGTGCTGTCCAGCCTGTTCTCCATTACTTGGCTCGGGGACCGGTGCCCTGCAGCCTTGGGGTGAGGGGGCTGCCCCCAGGATCCTGCACTTGGCTGAGGCTGAGTGGGGAAGGGACTGGGAATTGGTGACTCCCCACGAGGTGGGATCTGAAGCCAGTGGAGTCGGAAGTTCCTTTTGATCCTCTCCTGGGAGGGTGGGTGGCTTCCCCAGCAGCGGTTGGGGCAGCAGGCCAAGCCGAGCCTGCAGGCCCAGCCCCTCTCCTGTGCTCCTCTGCCCTCTCCTCCCACGCCCTCCCAGCCCTCAGCCACCCCAGCCCACCCCACCCCACCGGGCCTGTGGACCAGCAGTCCCCTCACTGGCCCGCCCCCCAGGTCTACGTGTTGAAGCGGCCTCACGTGGATGAGTTCCTGCAGCGGATGGGCGAGCTCTTTGAGTGTGTGCTCTTCACTGCCAGCCTGGCCAAGGTGAGCCCCCCCGGGAGCCTGGGGCGACCCTGCCTTCCCATCGCCTCCAACGTGCAGCCGGATGGACCTCTGGGCCACCCTTGGCCCCAGGATGACCCACCTCCCACCCCCAGTACGCAGACCCAGTAGCTGACCTGCTGGATAAATGGGGGGCCTTCCGGGCCCGGCTGTTTCGAGAGTCCTGCGTCTTCCACCGGGGGAACTACGTGAAGGACCTGAGCCGACTGGGCCGTGACTTGCGGCGGGTTCTCATCCTGGACAACTCGCCCGCCTCCTACGTCTTCCATCCGGACAACGCCGTGAGTGCAGGCCAGGGTGGGACGGGGCTGAGACCCAGGAACCGGGTTAGTCTGTTCAGACCACCTTGGCCTCCCTAGCGCCAAGTTGCATGGTGTCTGGGGGCTGGTGCCCTCGCAGTCTCTTTCTCTTTGCTCAGTTGCCTGTGCCCACCACCCACTTGTCCCCCCGCCCTGTCGCTACAGCCACTCAGCCCATTCCACTTGTGCACAGAACACCTGCCATGGGCTTGGGGCCCTGCTGGGCAGTGGAGCAGTTTCAACTTTGTAGACTCCCTGTTGTGACCTACTAACAACCCATGGAATTAATTTAGTGGGTCCTGATTGGGATTTTAACAAAATGAAGTAGAATATAAAATAGAGTAAGATTAATACAGTAAGGTTAAGAATTGTTTCAAGAAACTTTGCTTTGTTATGTATACAGTTGTGTTTTACTGGGGGTTGCTGTCAAAAAAGTTTGAACGCTGGAGTTCCAAGGGGTTTTTAGAAGCTACATGACCTAAGTAGTGGGTGCTGGGGCTGGCCTGGGGCCACCTGCCCCCCTCACCTCTCTACACCCATCTCCCTAGGTACCAGTGGCCTCGTGGTTTGACAACATGAGTGACACAGAACTCCACGACCTCCTCCCCTTCTTCGAGCAACTCAGCCGCGTGGACGACGTGTACTCAGTGCTCAGGCAGCCTCGTCCAGGGAGCTAGTGAGGGCGATGGGGCCAGGACCTGCCCCTGACCGACGCCCACACCTCCTCCTACACAGACTCTGCACAGGCGCGTTCTTCATTAAGAAAACCCACGGGCCACTGCCACGCTCAGTGCCACGGGGAAGCAGGCGTCTCCCCCACCAGCCTCACCAGGCTGCGTAGGGCCAACAGGCTGCACCGAGGATGATGAGCCCCTGGGCCCCTGTGTCAGTGCCTTTGAACCTTCTCCCCACTTCTCAGGGAGTTTGGGAGGCCCTGCCTGCCACTCCCCCTTTCTGTCTCCTCTCTCTGTGCTGCCATGTTTCTTTGCTGCCAAATTGGGCCCCTTGGCCCCTTCCGGTTCTGCTTTGGAGCGAGGGGCAGGGTTTCTCCTGCCCCCTACCTTGGACCTCCAGCCTGGGAACGGTGGACACCAAGTGCCTTGCATAGAGCCCCCTCTTCCCCGCCCAGCTTTCCCAGGGGCACATCTGGGTCAGCTCTAGGCTGGTGGGGGAGAAACAGTCCCCTCCCCCACCTCCTCCCTTGGGACTTGGGAGCCCCCACCAATGTCTGCCTCTGCCTTTGGAGGGGATAGAGGTCTGTTACCACTGGTGAAGAGCTGGGGTCTGCCCCTCAGGCCCCACAGTCCAGCTTTTCCAGGGCTGAGGGCTGCCCCCCACATCAGCCAAGCCCTAGCCCCTTACTTCTGCCTTAACCACCCCAAGGCCCTGGGGCTTGGCTCCCCCAGCTCTGAGTGTGGGGGCATAGGCAGGACCCCTTGTGGTGCCATATAAATATGTATATGTGTATATAGATTTTTAGGGGAAGGGTCAGGGAAGACACCCTCCCTTGCCCCTTTCCTGGGCCCAGAAATTGAGGGGAGGGAGGGAAAGGATTTTTACATTTTTTAAAGTGCTGTTTTCTGAATGGAACAAGCTGGGCCAAGGGGCCCCAGGCCTGTCCTATCCTTCACATCCTCTTTGCTCTGTTCATTCAAAAAGCATTTATTGAGCACCTTCTGTGCCCAGCACTGTGCTAGGCCCACCAGCTAAGTGTGTGTGAGGGTCTCTACACCACCTAATTGGTGCCTCCCCACCCACCCAACTTCACTGGTGCCTTTGGGGGATCTGCAGGAGGTGGGACCTTCCTGTGGGGTTTGGGAGGTCTCCAGGAAGCCTGGCCAAACTGTCCCCCTCCCCCTGTGCCAACTCACCCCCTGTAGCCCCCTGCCTTGCCCCCTGCTGGCTGGGGGCAGCTCCCAGGACATCCTGTCTTCAACTCTGAAACCCTCATACATGCGAGTCTGGAGGTCAAGGCCTTGGGCTCTCCCCAGGATCTAACGGTTACGGGGACCCACATATCAGTGCCAAGGGGGATGTCAAGTGGAGATGTAGCCCTCCCTGCCCCAGTTTTGGGCCGGGGAGGGATATGGTTAGCCTGAATTGGGTGACCTTCCCATCTAAGTGCCTTCTCTGAGAGCCCCTCAGTGTGATGAGAACTAAAGAGAAAGCCAGACCCCCATCCTGCTTGTGTGGTTATTAGGGTGGGGAGGGGGTTGAAGTGAGGTGAGTGGTTGTGTCTTACGCGTATGACTGCAGTGTGACTCCACCTCTGCAAGCGGTTCGGAGGGGGTTGACTGTGGAGGGAGGGGCTGCCCCAGGCCCTGGGGAAATGTGAGTGAGGCGGGGTTCAGGCATAGCTCTGAATTGGATCAGAGTGGGCTTCCAGGCTGTACTCTAATTACTCTACCTCTCTTAGCCTCAGTGATGCGATCAGCAAAATGGAGATACGCCCTCTTTGCAGAGTTGATTGAAAGCCTGGAGACAGACCACTCGGTATTATTAGCTGAAAAGCAAAACTAAAATGCCTTGGTAGGGACGGCCCCTGGAATGCGTGGGGGTGGGGCCTGTGCCCCGGAGCAGGGGACAGGGGCGGGGCTGGTGAGGCCCCGAGGGTAGAGGCTAGAGACGGGGAGCGCGCGAGGCACTGGGAAGCCAAGTTCCGCGGACAACAAGGACTCGTCGCCGTCGCCGGACTGACGCGGGCCAGCCTGCGAGGTCGGCGGCCAGCCCTGGCAGCGCACGGGCACAGCCTCGGGCACCGCTTCGGGCACCAGAGGCTCCGTTGCTCAGACTGGGTGTGGCCGGGGCCGGGCTGGGTCCACCGCGGCCTCTGAGCCCCCATTGGCCGCGCCCCGGCCCGAGCCTCCGCTCCACTTCCTGCCCCCGCCCCTGCGGCCCTGGCAGCACTTCCTTTGCGAAACTGGGCAGCCCCAGGCCCTGGCAGGAAGTGCCCTCGCGCCCCTCCCAGGTCCGCCCTCGCCTGCTGCTCACGCTGGCCACTAGAGGCCTCCCGGTCCTCGCGGACGCCAGGGCTCCCCAGGGCCCGGCCCTCCCCCACCCCCTGGGCACACGCCCTGCCCCTCCCTCGTCCCAGAATTGGAACGTCGGGGGGTCGCCTCATTCACCCTTCTCCGGGATGGGGAGCCCAGAGAGTCCATTTGAGAGGCACATCCCCCTCTGTGGGGAGAAGAGGGATGTGCCTCCCAAACGTTGGTCCCGGTCCACCTCCCCAATCCCTCTCACTCATCATTTTACCTCGTGAATCCGGCTCCAAGCCTGCCTCCCGGTGCCCAGATGCTGCTCAGCCCCCAAGTCCGGCTGTGTGTGAAACAGGCCCTTATCCCCTCGCCCTCCCCTCGCCACTGCTGTTCCCGGGTAGAAAAGAGGCAGGAAGCACCCACCTGGAGAAGGCTGCGGCAGCATCCTCACCTCAGCCACAAGAACCCTTGGCTAGATACATACCCAGCCCTCCCTAGCCTCTGCCCTTGTCCTCCGGTCCTGCTCTATTTCCTGCTCTCCATGCAAACTGCACCCCCTCCCCCCATGCCCCAGATTTGCATCCCAGAGGCCAGACTCCGCTTGAGGAGGAGCCGCCAGAGCTCCCAACTTTGAATGAGACCACAGTGAGGCTTCCCCCACCACCTCCACCTACACACCCTCCACCCACATAGAGTTCAACCCAACCACATGTATCAGGTGCTTGCTGTGTGCCAGGCACGGTGCCAGGACCAGGCCATGCCTCTGCTCTCACAGACCTCACAGCCTTGTGTGGAAAGAGAAAAGGATGTTCTCAACACTGCAATGTGCAAATGCAGTGGGGAGAGCGCATGGCAGGCAGGAGAGGGCCAGGGATATGCAGCCCCACCTGGGCAGCCCGGGGGTGTTGGAGAACACTGGGTGCAGGAGTGAGGCTCAGAGGAGTTTGGAAAGGAAGAGTCAGGTGAAAGTGGCCTGAGCAGGGAGGGTGCACCAGGAGAGGAAGTGAGCAAAGAAAGCCTTGGTGGCCAACCACAGCAGGGAGTGTGGGAAGTGACCAAAATTTTGGAATGGCACACAAGGGGGGAGAATAGGAAATGAGGCTGTGGAATGCAGGAGGGGGCAGGGAATGCAGACAAAGGGAGTGGCCTTTTTCTTGCAGGCAGTGGGCACCCTTGAGGGACTCTGAGGGACGCTGAGCAGGAGAGGGGTGTGGCAGCTGCACGTTGCAAGCTGCATCAGGGGTACAAATACCAGATTCTGTTAGGAGACCACAGCCGTGGTCCCAAAGATGGAGAATGAAGGCCTAAACTGAGGCAGAGGCAGAGGGAAGAGAGAAAGAAGGGGGGATGTATGAGAGGTAGGAGATAAACTTGGCGGGAGGAGATTGGCTGGTTGGCTCTGGGGGCAGGGGGGAAGGAGAGGGAGGAAGGTGATCTAACTTCTGACTTTGGAGATGTCAGATGTGAAAATGTCTCTAGCCAAGCCTGGTAATGGGGCAGAGATGCCCTATTTCCTTGTTGTACATGCGCACACACACACACACACACACACACACACACACACACACACTCCAGAGGATGCAGGGAAACAGGCTCTGATAACAACGCTGTTGGCAGAAGTGTGAACTGGTATGACTTCATTGGAGAGTGATCTGAGAATATCCATCAAAAACATTTCTTAAATGCAGACACCTTTTGATTCAGCATTTCCACTTGTAGGAATTTACCCTGTAGATAAAATGTATGTACATGTAACCGTGTATGTTTAAGAGTATGCATTGTGTCATTGTAATAGCAGAACACTTGAAATAACCTAAGTGTCCACCAATAAGGGGCTGGTTAAATATTAATACACCTCGTTGTATGTATACCAGAGAATACGCTGTAGTCATGAAAAACGATGAGGTGGAACTGTATAAGCTGATAGAGAATGGTTTCCAGGACATACTGGTAAACAAAACGAAGTAAGATTCATAACAATGGTGATGGTGTATTCCCACTCAGGTGAAATATAAAAATAGACACAAATATACATATATACTTTTGTACACTCTGGTAAGATACTTGTGGCCAATCCTGAGGAGTGGGGCTGGAGGACTGAGATTCATCTAAGATATAAGGGACACATTTTATTATATATCTGTTTGTATTTTGAATTATTTTACCAAGTACATTTATTAATTTTTTAAAATAAAAATAAGTTTGAGATTAAAAACCATACACTCAAGCTTCCTAAATATTATATC